AAGTCAACATGACTGGTCATAGTGGATGTTGACCTTAATGCCCTGGCTGAGGTAGTGTCTGTCGGGCTTCTTTGTTGTCAACTTCTTCTGTTCCCCCCATTTTCACTGTTTCCTGTAGCAGGATGTCCTGATGGTCAGCCCAGCATTAAGGAGTGGGGAGTTATGCTTCACTTCCTTGAGGGCAGAATATCTACCTAAATTATTTGGAATTCTTCTGCATGGGAAATGTGTCTATTCTCTCCTATTTATTACTTTATTCAATCAATTGTTTATATCATTTCAACCTGTGGATGTGTATTTCATATTTGGTTTATAATCCAATAATAAATACTACTTTATCCACTTTCTTTCTCTAATTATACCCTATCCTTTTTCCTCAACATTTTATTATGAAACATTTCAAACATACAAAAAGGTCAAAACAGTATTACAGTGAAAAAACACAACAAACAAATAATCTAATTATAAGATGGATAAAAGACCTGAATAGGCATTTCTCCAAAGGAGATATTCAAATGGCCAACAGATACATGAAAAGATGCTCGATATCACTCATCATCAGGGAAATGCAAATCAACACCACAATGAGATACCACCTTACATCTGTCAGAATGGCTGTCATCAAAAAGACAAGAGAAAACAAGTACTGGAGAGAATATGAAGAAAGGGAACCCTCGTGCACCATTGGTGGGACTGCAAATTGGTGCAGCCACTATGGAAAACAGTTTGTAAGTTCCTCAAAAAATTAAGAATAGAACTACTTTATGACCCAGCAATTGCACTTCTGGGTATTTACCTGAAAGAAATGAAAACAGGATCTTGAAGAAATATTTGCACCCCATGTTCACTGCAGTATTATTCATGTGGCCAAGACATGGAAACAACCTAAGTGTCCTTCGATGGACGACTGGATAAAGCAAATGTGATATATATGCAATGGAATATTATTAGACATCAAAAGAAGGAAACCTTTCCATCTGCAGCAACATGGAAGAAACAAGAGGACATTATGCTAAGTGAGATAAGTCAGACAGAGAAAGATAAATAGTATATGATCCCATTTATATGTAGAATCTAAAACAAGACAAAACAAATTCATAGAAACAGAACAGACTGATGATTGCCAGGGTTGGGGGTGGGCGGGGGGAAGGGTGGAGGTGATCAAAGGGTATGAGCTTCCAGTTATAAGATGAATAAGTTCTGGAGATTTAACGCAAAGTGTGGTGACTATAATTAACAATACCATATTGTATACTTGAAAGTTGCTGAGAGAGTAGGCTTTTAAAGTTATCACACATACACATACAAAATGTAACTATGTGAGGTGATGGATGTGTTCATCATTTCACAACATATACAGATATCAGATCTTCACATTGCACGCCTTAAAGTTATACAGTGTTAATATCAGTTATATATCTCAATAAAATTGGAAAAAATAAAGAATTTTACAGTGAACACCCAGATACCCAACACATAGATTCTGCCCCTGATATTTTGTTTTATTACCTATGTACCCCTCCGTCAATCCATCTTATTTTCTTCACGGATCCATTTCAAATGGAACCGCAGACACCACTCCCCTTCCCCCCAATACTTAAGCCTGCATATCACTAACTAGAGTTCTTTTATTTTTTCCCAAGGTAAAATTTGCCATGAAATGCACAGATCTTAAGTGTACCATAAATGTGGACCCCTGTGTGACCCAAACCCTTGTCAAGATACAGAACACAATGCCATCACCCAAGAAATCTCCCTCAGCCTACCTCCCATTCAGCCCCATCCCCACCCTCAAGGGTAACCACTGTTCTGATTACTTGGCCATCATAGTTTAGTTTTGTCTGTTCTAGAACATCGTCTAAATGCACTCATATGCACTCGCAACCCCCTCATGAAACTGGTGAGTCTCCCAGAGTTTAAGTCATTGGGAGCACATGCTGAACCCTTGTGCCACGACCAGTCCAGGTCTTCCATAGAGAGAGGCTGGTCCGGGTGCCTCCCTGGAGGAGGTGGCATTGCTGCCTCTCTGGCTTCCTTCCCGCCTCCCTGGTTGCTCCTTCTCAGCCTCTTTGTGGGCCCCTCTTTCTCCACTTGCCCCTTCCATGCTGGTGCTGCTCAGCGTCTGGCTATCCCAGAGCCTACAAACCAGCCAGCTCTAACCCACAAACAGGTTTTATTTGGCACACACGGTTTTTTTTTATTTTTGTATTTGAATTAGTTTCAACATTTAAAAGCTGAGGGATTTTGCTTTTAAAAATATCCAGATTTCTGTCTTCTCTTGGAAATTGGGAACATCTGGCAATGTTGTGTTCCTCTTCCCATATGGCAAGCATTGGCTGAAACTAAATAGCGACAACCGTGTGCTCTGAGCCATCCTGCACTGGGGGGTTCTTGTGCACCCAAAACCCTGAATTAACACCTACCGATCTTGAGATGGCTTTGGAACGGTGTTCAGCCAAGAACCGTGGAAATGCTCAAGACTTCTCCAGAATAATCATCTGTGTCCCAGGAGAAGGTCAACCCAGGAAATTTCTACTAGACAGCATTTCAGGTCTCATACATGAGGATGGCTGTCTTGGGCTTTATCATTACGGCCACAGTAATTCTCTAAAGAGGTCAGACTGTAGGCACCTGGGACCTAAATCATGTGTGAGAGAGATGAAGAGAGAGAGATGAGAGAAAGAGCCAGAGTGAAGCAGAGAAAGAGGGAGATTCAGTCATTTCAAACCTTTTTCTGAGGGGAGTAAAAGGGAGTGGTGTGTGTGTGTGTGTGTGTGTGTGTGTGTGTGTCCATGTGTGCACACACGTTGAGGGTGCAGGATCAAAATATCGAGCTCCCCTGAGCAGCCAATATAATCTACTTCTGCATTGTAATAGTTACCTCTTTTCTAACTCCAAACCGGAAGCTCTCTGGAATTAGAGATTAGTGCTTTTCAGGTTGCAGGTCAAGACTCATTAGCCAGGTATGAAAAATTTAAGAGGTTGTGACCAGATTTTCATTTATGAACTAGAATAAACATAGAATAGAAATATCTGAGAGCATTGTGCTGAGTAGAGAGCAGTTTTATTTCATGAAACTTTTTTTTACTTCAGGTGAGTGTTTGTGTGTACCAGATCATGATGTAAAATCTATTTCACATGGTGCGTCGCGGTCTACAAGTTGGAAACCCACCACTGTCAAATAATATATATTTAGGGAAGGCTGACACAAGGCCAGGTGATGGAGGCATAAAAGTAGGAACAAGAGGCTGCGACTAGGTCCCATAGGCAATAGGGAGCCACTGAGTGTTCTTGAGTTTTGGAGTCACATGAGTACCTCCCCCCACCCACATATATTCGTACCCAAGCACACACATCATGACATTGGAATTCTTCTCCCTCTTAGTAAGTCCTGCTGGTTCAACAAACATTGGCTGTGGACATGTTATGGGAAATCAGCCAATCCAGGGCTTTCAGGATGGCTAGCCTCACCTCTTTCTCTTATTTTACAGATAAACAAAGGCTCCAAGATGGGAACTCACTTGCTTAGGGTTACTTAGTGCAACTCACAGCTGCTTGTTCCAGGATCTTCCTCATCTCCAGGCCCCATGTTGTCCACCTGGCTGGGGATTATGGAGGACATGACACGAGGCAGAATTGGAGGCAGACAGAAGAAGACCTGGGGTAGTAATGATGAGTATCTACATGTGTGTTTCTCAGGGGACAGCTATCCTCATTCTCCCTGTCTCCATCATCATCACCATCATCATTGTTACCATCACCATCATCGTCACCATCACCACCATCACCACCATCACCATCATCATCACTATCATCACATCACCACCATCACCATCATCACCATCATCACTATCAACACCACCACTACCATAATTATTTTTATCTCTAGTAATGAGCTGGGCAATGATCCCTAGCCCCTTCTCACCAGTCTAGGGCAAAATATTGGAATGAGATAGGTATAGTACTAACCTCCCCTTCTTCCTCCCGTCCAACTCATCCCCCGCAAGAGAGGCCTGGTGTGGGGACCCCAGGTGGCAAAAAGTGTAACCCTGCTCCACAGGGTGGGGGAACCCCTGGGGAAGATTCTTGGGCACCTAAGTTTTAGCTCCAACAGTGACTGTCTGGGTGGTGACATCAAAGTAGTCGGGTGCCTTCCAAGGGTCTCTACTTCCCCGTGTATCAGTGTGCCATCAGTGGGTTCCTGTGACACTCAACATAGATAGCGGCCTTAAATTGTAAAGTGAGTGGCAAGGGACAGAGGGATCCTTATATACATAAAAGCAATCCTTAATCAGTTTGGGGAAGTTCTTCAACACGTGAGAGGGATCCTTACGAAGATGGGCAGGTCCCTATACAGAAGAGCAAGGTTCTCCTTGGGGTGGGCGGGATCCTTGTGCAGATACGAGAGGTCCATGCGAGGGGCCCTTACGTGGGTAAGCCAGTGTGCAAACACACTCAAAGGAAGGTTGGCGCCTAGAAGCCATGCGCAAATACAGGTTTGTTTTTCCAAAGCGGGAGACGGCTTTTACCCAGATGAAAGCTCCCTTTACAGGTGAGCGCGCGCTGATACACAAATTGAGATTTTTTATTGATGCAACCGACCATTATTTGTAAAATACTGTGCAAATACTAGCGACCTTTGCGTGGACGTGAGCGCTCTTCCTAAAGATAAAGGGATCGTTATGTTGTAGGGTGACATAACAGTATGAACGGCCTTATAAGGACGAGGATGTCGCGGTACCTTGGCGGGCGGGTTCGCAGGTGGGAGAGGTCACCCAGCAGGAGGAACGCAAAGGACCGACCCGCAGCGCCGCAGTGCCCCCCGCAGCCGCCAGGGGCAGCACCATGCCCACCTAGCCTGTGCCTCCCCCTCCTCCCCCCAGTCTCCGCCTCCCG